GCCTGTACAGCAGCATCCTGCCTGGGATGCTGTGGACAACCCACACACTGCCTGTACAGCAGCATCCTGCCTGGGATGCCGTGGACCACCCACACACTGCCTGTACAGCAGTATCCTGCCTGGGATGCTGTGGACCATCCACACACAGCCTATAAGGCAGTACCCAGGATCTGCCCTGCCTCACTCCACAGCAGGATAAGCCCTCTCAGAGGCTGACAAGGCCCTGCTCTGGATGATGTTACGAGACACAAACTGACTTAGCAAGAAGAGGTGTGTTGCTGACTACGTTAATCAAAGTACTAGGATCTGGAAATGCATCTGTGCTCCTTATGAGCAAGAATTAGCTGTGGGCGCCATCTCCAGAACACTGACAAACAGATGAATGTAAGTGACAGCAACAGATCTCTGTGACTCCACTGTGATGTGGAAACACCTGGCGTCTAATACCACTGTGGTCATGCACTACACTCAAGCCACAAGTGGAAAAAAACACAACACTTCACTGAGAAGTTAGTGAAAACTGAAGACTGTGCTTCCAAATTTAAGTTCTCAGCTTCAGTAAGATCTACTATGAGCAACAGATGCAGGATCTCAGCAGCTCTTCCTACTAGATCTCAAAGCCTTCATGGACAGGAACAATGCATGATCCCAAAGTGAAAACTTTGGATGGAAGAGTAAACAATCAGGCACTACCCCCGCAGGAAGTCTCTAGGAGTTTGTTGTGAAAGGCCCACCCCTCTAAAACTGCTGGCTGGCAATGGGTATACACCTATGTTGTTTAAAACACACACCAACAGTGTTCCTTTTCAAAGATTGCCAGTATGAGCATCTATGGGACCATGACAAAAAAAGACTCAGGACCCAAGAAGATGGCAACCGGGAAGCCAAGGGGGCAACCAGGTGGTGTAAAGGGGTGAGCTTACATCAAAGATCTCGAAGCCGGCGATGTCCAGGATCCCAATGAACGAAGCACCCTGCCTCTTGGTCTTGTCCAGAGCTTTGTTGATGCGAAGCACTAGCCAGCGAAACATCCTCTCATAGGTAGCCTTGGCCAAGGCCTCAATGGCAAAGTCAGCCTAGGGACAACATCCAGGGGCACAGAGGTAAGATACAAAGCCTGAAAGCCGCATGCCTCTGTCCCAGCGACCTCACCATGAGAAACAGGTGAGGAAGGTGGAGAAAGCCTCACACAGATTGTGGTGCTGATCAATGACAACAGCTGAAACATCTCCATGCCCGGCAGCAGTGTACCCAGATATTTTGCAAAGACCTTCATTAATACAACAAAGGCATAAAATATATACAGAAGTGGTAAGACCCCAAGACTTGCTTCAAAAAAATGCACGTGGGAAGAAGGGTGAAGACTGACCAAGACTGGCCGTCTGCTAAAGTAGCCTGATGACAGGCACAAAGGGGTCATTCCATCATTCTTTTGTTTTGCTTGTTTCAAACGCTTCATAATAAGAAGCCAGAATTGAAACTAAGTTAAAAGGAAAACAAGTCTGCAGGAGTAACAATCTTGGTGGGTGAGACAATACTGTTGCTGCTTCTCCTGGCTTTGGTGGATTTTCTTAAGTGTTTGTGTAGCATTTTCTAATGGGGGGGGGGGTGAAGGTTTCTCCTTAATTATTATGGACAAGAACAGTTGGCAACAATTACACACAAAAGCTTTTGAAAACAATGTTCTTGTCTTTCCTACAATGGCCCTGTTTAAGAGTAGCCACAGGCTTACAGCTATCCCCTGGGATCCTTTAGGAGGAGCCTTGATGCCATCTTCCAAGTGTTGGTGCCATAAAATTCTATGATTAGAGCCATGGAGAAAGCCGACAGAAAAGGCAGAGATGCAGCCTGTGAGGGCACCAGGCCCAGGAATGACGAGCACATTTGCCTGGCAGAGACAGGAGCGCCCCTGCTTGTCTCTCAGCACATGTAGCAAGGCAGCAGGTGGCAAAGAAACAGCCACGTGGCCTGAGTTCCAAAGATGATGGGGTGGCTGCCAGAACCAGAAGCCACACCACAGAAACAGTAAGCCTCATCTTAAGCAGAGACAGGATGTGGCATTTTTGAACACCAAGCAGCCTACAGGTAGCACTTTCCAAATGTGGACCTGGGCAAGTCCCTCAGTCTCTAATGTTCTCAGGAGGGCCACCCTGATCTTAGCAGTGCTCAGGTCTGAAGAACAGGCCCTATTCAACTATCTTCACATAGTGGGCAGCCCAGATTGGACCTTGCAATACACAGCTGCAAGAACATCTTCCCAGGAAATGACAAAGTCATGTGACACAGAGACACAATAGCATACCTGCTCTTTAGTCTGTGCCTTCTGCACATAGTCTCTGCCCACCTTGATTCGTGGGGTGAGGATACCTCTGGTGAAATCGGTCACGTTGATCCCCAGGAGGTGAGACACCTTTTGAGCAGCTGATATTTTCAAAAAATAAGGAAAGGAGTGAGAAATGGTTTAATTAAATCCATGTGTAGTTTGCAAGCAAAGAAGAAAGGTGCAAAGGAGCAATTACAGTCACTGTGCAAAGGATCTAGGCACAGTGCAGGCCTATGGACATACTGTTTGGCCTCCAAACCAGTGCCAAAGTCAGCCTCTACCCAAAACTAGGGTACAGGCCCACCCAAGACACAGCAGTACAGAGTCCCAAAGAAGAACCCAGTATAAGCCACACAAGCCATGTTGAATATATTTAAGAGACTGTAAGAGAAGACCATGTTGAAAGACTCAGTAACTTAAACAGGAAACAGTAGTGGCTGATTGAGGTGAGTACATGGTATCACGTCCTGATCAGTTCAAGGGCAAGGCTAGAGTTACTTTGTCCCTTAGCAGGAACAGTGTTTAGTTTCAAACCAGGACAAGTGGTTTGACTTCAGAAACAAATGAGCAAGACTCAGGCAGGGAAGGAAGGTCCCCCAGCTTGCTAACACTTGCAGTGTTTTTTACATGTGTACAAATGATACAACCGGAGGGGAAAACAATGCACAGCTTTCAGCCCAGCTATGAGGACAGGTGACAGAACAGAGTACATAAGCTCACAGCCAGCCTGAGGAATATGATGAAACCCAACTCAAGAAAATCCCCAAAACCTAAAAACAAAACCAGAGGGCTACACACCCACAAACACAGACAGAGTTTGGAATCTCTCTCTGATGACTTTCTCCTGAGAGTGCCCACAGCTCACAGGAAGGCCTGGTATTACCTGTGTTGTCGGGCATGGACGCCTGGTCAGTGTTCCGTTCTTTCTTGAAGACGATATTGCCAAGCTGAAGGACTCCTGAGATGACCCGCAGCAAGCCTTTGGTGTTTGGGAAAGATGGGTCAGAGTGAACAGAGGCTGGAGGAAGCCCTGGTTAAAGGTAGCCACTCTGCAAGGGATCCTTGGCTAAGCATGGTACTTTACTTCCTGAGGAGCCAGAACACCAGGCCTCATCTCATGGTGTGTGGAAGCTACCTGCCTTGGGGCCTCACCACCACTCAGGATAGCCTGTCTCTCCCAGGCCTCAGCTTGACAGCACTATTCAGACACAAAGTCTGACAACATATTCAACCTTCCAAAACCTACATGAAGGACACTTCTGGCCCAAGGTCCACTGTGGCCTGCTTTTATAAATAATGTTTTACTGGGACACAGTTGCACCCATCTGTTTAAAAAGTGTCTGCAACTGAACATAGATGCTCTGGCCTGCCAGCCCCTTCCACATCTTGTACAAAGAGCCAGAGCTCTTTGTCCTTTGCTTGTCTGTGTAACACCTGCGGTTTCACCAAGAACAAACCCTGAGGCTCAAACCTACTCTTTAAAGACTTCCCTCTGCTACCCAGCACCAAAGTCAACAGAAAGTTATCCGTGGGCCCCACATCTGCTTCAAGGCCTCTAAGGGCAGGCTAGTCAGTCTCACCCCCTCGACCATAGGAGGCCCTGCCCTTACCCATCTGCTCATCCTCTGGGATGCCCATAATCCTCATGGCCTCCATTGTCTCCTGGAACATGTCCTTGTCCTGCTGCCCAGGGATGGTGACATGCCCATTGGATAGGAAGCGGTATTTGTTGTATGGCTCCAACAGAAGGTCAGCTGGGAAAAGAGGAAGAAAGGCACAGAAAGGTAAGGTATAAATGGCACAGGCACCAGGCAATACTGTGACCTCCAAGACTTGGCGTTGTGAACAGACTGAGACTGGACCACTCCCCTTTCTAATGACTCAGCACATGCAGCTAGTATTTATGCAACACAACCCAAGCTGAGACCACACTTCTGCCTGTGACATACCCAAAGACAGGGTATGCCCCACTTCTCTTCCTTAAACCAAATTATATCTGCAGACCCCAGTGGCATGCAGCCCCACCCCAGAGGGACCCTGACTTACTCTTCAGGTGTTCCCCTGCCCCAGACAACAGGTAATAGAAGATGTGGAAGGTCCGCTCCTCCTTGGCTTGGCGGATGGCCCGAGATTTCTCCAAAAGATCTTCAAGTACGTTAAAGAGCGACACACGCTAGAGGGAAGGCAACCCTCTACCGTACTCCCATCTCCATCAAAAAGAACTGAGTGTCACCAGGAAGGAAGGAAGGCACAAAACAGCAAAGCAGGGCAAAGCCAACTACCTTGCCTCCAGCCTTCAAACGAGCTGCTGGACTAATAGTGCAGCTCACACGCTGGCAGAGCCCTGTCTGCTTAAAGGGACCCTGCTGATGAGTGACAGCAGACTAGAGCACTCCAAAGGCCATAAGATGGCAGGCGCATGGGAGACAAAAACAACAGCCACCATATGGAACCACTCTAGGGCCCCATGAGTGATTTTTCAGTAGTTTCCTCCTAACCCAAGAATCTATCCTCTGAGCTCCATGTCACATTCCTAGCCGGTTCCTCCAGTCAGCTCTGGATATTGTCCCAATGTCACACAAGTGGTAACACAATGAGCCCAAGAAGGGAAGGTACTGAAACCAGGCAGCAGCCCATCCTGAGGGCTGCCACCTCCCCCAAGGCTCCATCTCTCATATTCAGTCAGCCACAAGGATACAAGTCTCAATGTTGGCACCCACGATGTAACCATTGACATCAAAGTTGATGCGAATGAATTTACCCTGAGGAGACAAATACAAGAGACAACTCTCAGAAATAGGAAACAAGGGGCCCCACTGGGCCCTGCCCCTGTACCCAGAAGGCTGAGGAAGGCCAAAAGTTCTGTATTTACAAGCTGAGCCAATATATAGGACATATAGGACAGAAGGCAGAGAGGAGAGGCCTGTAATGGGCAGAACTCCTTCGCACGTGACCTGACCCTGGGAATCAACTGGCCACTGGCATGGCAGGGCACCCTGGGTGCCAACAGACAACTCCTCACTTCCTCCCTGACTTTTCCCATCTTCTGTGAAAGAGGTTACAGCCATCATAACTGGGGGCATGGGGGGAGGGGGAAGCCCATGCTGACAGAAACTTGTACACCAACTGGAGGAGGAAGCAACAAAATCATCCTCCTTGTTTGGGGTGAAGCACCGTGTGGGAGGTCATGGTGTCAAAATATCTGCAGGTCACCTGTGTCCCAAGAGCCACGGCACCACCAGCCAGTACTCACGAATCGTGAAGAGTTGTCGTTCTTCACGGTCTTGGCATTCCCGAAAGCCTCCAGGATAGGGTTGGCCTGAAGCAGCTGCCGCTCCAGCTCACCCTGTAGAGAAACCGAGTCTCAGGAAAGCCAGGCAAAAGTATGGGCTGCTAAACCCAACATGCCAGGAACAGAGGTCTGCAGGGCCCCTGGGAGCTGCTGCTCTAGCCTCCTCCTTCCCCCTGGGCCTTTGGAAACAGATGGATCAGAAATCGACCTGTGAGAAAAATCAACAAGCTACCAGTTCTTGAAACTGACTCTAAGAGTGTCGAGAGTAAGATTGAGAGATAGCGTGACACGGGTCTGTCTCTGGGACAGTCACCCTGTGTACACTTTCCCTTTACATACAAGGAAAGGAGTCAGGTCCACAAAAGACACAAGTTATCCCACCCAGAGTGGAGTCAGCGGTACTGTCTCTATGGGCCCCTATCTCCAACCCTTCCACAACATCAGCTGGGGTCTCCCAGTGGGATCAGTAAGGCCCACTTTAGAGCCCTAGATATTTATCAGTAATTTTCACAAATCCTATTCCAACAAATTCTGGTGTGTGTTGGCTGTCAAAAGAAACCCTCATGAATCGCATCCCTGTGTGGTATAGTGCTTAGGAAGGCAGAGAGCTGCGCTCTTTCACAGACTCAGGATCGAGGCTAGGGAAGGAGGGATATTCTGCTCAAGGTCATCCAGCCACAGGTAAGCAAAACTGGTGGTCAAACTGAAATCTTCACCCCAACCACTGTCAGCCACTTCCACAGCCCCTGCTCCGCTACTGTCCTAACGGGGGAATGTGCCCTGCCAGGCCAGATCAACTCTACAAGCATCCAACAACCTCCTCAGCCAGCCAGCAACAGCCAAGACTGGCTGAGGACACTGGGCCCTATTCCTCGTAACAGTTAGATCCCTGGAGGGAAAGAGCATCACTCCCACCAGCAGGGTTGATGTTTATCAGAAGGGCTGGAGAGTGGCCAGGGCTTTACGGAAACAGCAGCCACCTGAGAGCGATGAAAGGCAACCTGACGGCAGTCCAGTAGATCTCCCAGGAGAGTTGGTGATAGCACACCTGCCTTTCAGCACGAGTGCTGCAGACATAACCTGTCTGCAGGGCACCAGCATTCCCGCACACCTACCACAGACACTACATGCAGCAGCAAGGTACTGGAGTCTGCCAGCGCCCAGAAGTGAACCAGGCTAAGCCTCCTCCCACCACCTCAGCCAAGGCTCCTCCCTTCTGTAGAAGCTTCCACAGCCCATTCAGGTGAGTGGAGGAGTCACTCTGCCTTACTCCTAAGAAGAGGGTCAGCAAGGCCAGGTCAAAGGGCAAGGATGGTTATGCCCTCAAAGACAATTCCACATGTGCACCTGGCACCAAGTCACCTTCCCAGAGGGTACCGGGCTCCCTCCCAACAGCCTTGAGTGGGCCTGCTAGTCAGCCCACAGGCAACCCACTTAGCCCAACTTGGACAGGTGCTGCTCCCCACCCAGTGACACTTCTAACAAAGCAGATGCCAGGCTGCCAGGATGGCTGGCCCATTCCTGTTCCCTCAGACAGAGCCTCTGCCTGCCTGACTTGGAGGCAGAACTCAGGCTTCTGTCTGGACTCACACGCAGCTGCTGTTGGAAAGTGGGCTTGGTGGGTCAAGTGGGAGCAGATACAGAGCCCAGTCCAAGCGGCCGGCGGTGATGGCTAACCAACAGGGCTTGCTTTATGGACATCTAAGTAAGTGGGCACAGAAGAGACTGAATGAAATGTGCACAGTGTGAAATGATGTGCCGGTGTGTGATTCTGTTTGGAATTACTAGTTCAGTTTCTGAAAAGCTTCCCTGGGTGGTATTTCAGCAAGTGGACTCCAACTAGTACATTAAAAAGAGAGGGACAGGGTCACTCCTCAGACTACAGAAGCCCACTCTGCCCTTCCTCTTAAGTAACTTAAGCTCAACTCTAAAAACACACAGACCTAGTCAAGGCCACATGTCCTGTCTGATGGGCTTGGTTATCACAGGGTTTTGTTTATTTTTTATTGGGGGTGGGGGGGAGTCAGTCACTGCAGGTAAAAGAGTTCTCTCCCAGAGATGTCATGACAGGCCTATCGCACTGAGAAATTAGTTGGCCAAGTGTGGAAAATCACAACACAGCTTCAGGGACCATAAACAACTACACTGGTCAACGGCCTTGCTGTGACTGGACACCAGAGGCAGGCAGGCAATCACTCTAGCTGGAGGTGGAGCCAGGCACAGGGTACCCACCACATATTGTGTGTTCATAGCTTTCCTCCCACTATTTCCCTAAACCCCCCAATTATCAGTAAGCCTGAGGCTTTTCTTCCCAGGCATGAGACACATGGGCCCTTTGACTGCTCTCCAACTAGGGTCCTGTCTCCTGTCCTCCAGGGAAGAGACCCCAGTGTCACCCTCCTAAGAATTAGTCACATACCAAGCATTCAATAAATAGCTGGGAAATAGATTTTACTCCAAATTCAGAGACAGAAAAACCACAGCCAGAGACCTCCTAACCTCCCAGCTCTGTTTTTAAAATAGGCCTCCTATAAAGAATGGAAAATGGGGGGTGGGAGGAGAAGAAACTTTATTAGTTTCTAAATATAATTCCTGACACCCTGTGGAAAAAGTCTCAAGAAGCTTGGCATGTTGAGAGTTGTTTCTGGTCTGGTTCCAGAAGACGATACAAGGATGTTGTGTGGCTGTACCCCAGCTATGCATGCAGAGACATACCCCAACTTCCTGGTGAACACAGTGCATAGGACACCAGTAAGGTGAAGCCAGTGAGGGCAGCAGAGTACCCCTGATGGCCTTGGGGGGGCGCATCACTGGTACTTAGATTTCTCAGGGCAGCCTAAGTGTATACGTAGGGATTCCTCAGCCATGCTCAACCCTAACCACTCTTTTCCCCAGGAAAACTCCAATCTGGGACCTCCCAGTATCTCTCCCAGCTTGTGCACCCCTGATGGCCTTGGGGGGGCGCATCACTGGTACTTAGATTTGTCAGGGCAGCCTAAGTGTATACGTAGGGTGTGGGATTCCTCAGCCATGCTCAACCCTAACCACTCTTTCCCCCAGGAAAACTCCAATCTGGGACCTCCCAGTATCTCTCCCAGCTTGTGCCAGGAGATGAGGGGCCAGCCATCTGTAACTGGTGTGGACCACAGAGTGGGCTTGTGGGACTCTGGGCAGGCAGGTGCATGCCCCACTGTGCCTGCACAGGGCACTACACAGGGCACACTGGAATTCAGGCAGGCCTGACGTCCTGAGAAAAGCCAGGTGATGAGGCCAACCAACCCCAGTCAGGAACTCCTGCGTCAGAGTGCACCAGAGGCCTGTGTGCATCACACCCAGCCCTCCTCCCGAGACAACCAGTGAGCCGAGCCTCTAAGAAAAGTTCTAGCTGCAGAAAGTGATGGTGTGTGAAGTGAAAAGCTGCTCAGAAGAATGTACAGAATCCAAGGACACACGATGGCAGAACACGCATTCTCGGTGCAGAACGTGCAGTAAAACGTGCATCTCACCTAGCCAGGACACTGCTGAGTTCCACCAAAATCCACCAAGGGAGGAGGGAAAAAAGGAAGTAAGATGACTTTCCAACTGTCCTTTCCCGGTAAGGGAAGACTGTCCACCCAGAGGCATTTATTCCCAAAACAAAACAAGGATACAGGGATTTGAAGGCAAGTCCTTCTGGCCTCCATTAACCTGAGAACCTTGTCTCGGACTATCCCTTCCAGCCTCTGAGGTGAGTGCATGCGGCAATTAGCTGCCACACCAAGCGTTCTGCTAAGTAAACCCTGGGGGGGGCCCAGTTTTCATAGCAACTTGAGAGTTTGAAGGCCAAGAATGGAATGGACCTGCTACCACCCAACCATTCCTGAGATCACTAAGCTGCTACCTAGGGAGGTAGGGTGGGCCTCTGCTCCATTCCCAAAAGCATTTAAAGTTGAGGCCTCCATTGAAAGCCCTCCTCCTTTACCAACCCCTGCCAAGGCCCAGCAGGGCACCAGGTACTCACCTGGTCCTTCTTGCTCTTGTGTGAGGATGCCACGTGTGCCAGGTACTGGATGACTTTCTTGGTGTTCTCTGTCTTGCCTGCTCCAGACTCACCCCTGCCAAGAGAGTTGAGGAAGTCCTCGGTAAGATGTGGCTATGTCCTCGGCTTCCATCCCTCTTGCCCTCCTTTCTACCACTCTGCCCTTCTGTGGGTACCCATGAGGGAGGCAACAGGAAGAAAGGGAAACAGCAAACCAAATGTGAAGCTCTGGAATCTTCTCAGTCTGCTTCCCATGGCCCACTAAAGGCCAACAAAAGTTGATTCATAACCACTGCCTACCCTGGTCACTTGGCAGCCTTCAGAGCCAAATGTTTTAAGACATCAGGGGGAGGCAGCTGTTGACCTGGGAGCCAAAGGCACTTCTATGTGTTCCCCTGAAACATCCCTGGGAGGTGGCTTTCTTATTAAGATGAACAATACCCAGTATCAGCCTAAACCAGATAAAGAAGGCCACCATTCCCAGCTGGAAGACATGTGCCATGCTGGGAGTACTGGAAAAGCCAGTTGGTGGCTCTTGCTGAAACTTGTGGTGGTCTTCTGCTGTCACCCACCCACAAGTACCACTCCTTTGAAAAAGGCTGACAAAAGCCTTGGTTGTGACACAAAAGCTTACTGGGGAGTACTGGGCAGAAGACTCACAGCCCTGAGTCCTGTCTCAGGGCAAGAGGAGGGGCCTGAACTGGGAATGAGCCTATCAACCCTCTTTCAACAGGATAAAAGTATTCTTTCCCCAAGAATAAGAGCAGGGATGAGTTCAATCCCCTGTACCACAAACAAAAATATCTGAGTGATAGATAAACAACACACACACACACACACACTTGTATACTCATAAACTCTCTCACGAGAGAGAGAGAGAGAGAGAGAGAGAGAGAGAGAGAGAGAGAGAACACTTGTATACTCATAAACTCTCTCACAAGAGAGAGAGAGAGAGAGAGAGAGAGAGAGAGAGAGAGAGAGAGAGTGAACACTTACGTGCACAGAATGGACTGGTCTTCCCGGTCTGCAACAAAGAGGACATCAGGTTACCTTTGGCAGGAAGAAGAAACCTGCCCCTTCCCACCTCTGTGAAGAGTTGCCAAGACAAGGGACAGAGACTTAAATGCTGCTCTGAAGGGACCCTTCCAGGCCTCTAACCTGGGCTGACTATACATCCCTCAGGAGGAGCCTCTGTAGTGTCCAAGTCCCAGAAAGCTGCCTATCCCAAGTCCAGGCTGTACACAGACTGCCCATGAATATCAGAAGAAAACGCCCAGGCCAGGCCAAGCTCCCAACACTGTCCATAGTTAAGCAAGGAATACTGTTCAAGGAGTCAGAAATCAGAGCAGGCAGCATGACAAGACCTAGCTTGCAATAGGACAGTCCCAGTATGGGACACTGCCTCACAGAGACAATGAATAGCCTTCTCTGAGCCCCATGGACTCCTCCATGTTGTGGGGCAGCACGTATGTAGAGGACTCATGTGAACTTGCCTACATGGTGCTTGGCCCATGCAAGGCACGCAATGATGACAGGATAGGGGAGCCAGTGATGAATGACAGCCTCTGACGGTGTCTGTGACACCAGTGGCAGGAAAATCCAACAGCCACCCTAGCTTCATGAACCACTCAACAAGGAGTGATGTGAATGTTCCTCTTTGCATGTGGGGACAACTGTCCAATGCTCTGAAAGCTAAGCTGGGTGGTCACATTCCAGGACAATCTGCTGACCCAGGGTGGTGCTATTTGGTAACATCTGAACTACGATGAGGTCCTTGACTGTGGATCTCCACAGCACAAGGTATACTGGCAACTTACTCCCCCCTTTGTGGTTATTTTGATAAATGTAACACATAAAACAGACTTGGTGTTGAGCCTGTGAGCACAGTAAGCTCCTAAAGGGCCACTATCAGCAGTGATGGGGGGGGAGGGGGGGCAGGAGAACCAATCAGGGGGAACTGGTGGCTGCTGGTAGAACCAGCACTGCCAGACAGTAGATGCTAGCCATTCATGAAGGGCACTCCTGGCTCTCGCTCCGGCTCAGGGCCCCATGTGACAAGGTGCTGGAAGAATGACTCATGGCTTTCTGTGTGCGTGTGGCCTCAGGACATGGAATTAGCCATCCAACACCAGACTGACCAGGCAGATGACCTGCCCTCTGGCAGGTGAGCTTTCCAGCCAGCCCAATCTCAGCAGCATATAGGGCTGAGTATACACTGCCATACCCACTCTGTCAACTGGCTGAGCAGGAGGAAGACTGGACTCCAAGATAGGAAGCCGGAAAAGGAAGCCTCACACCCTACAAGGGCAGCAGCTGTCCATGCTCTCAGCTGCAGCCTTTATCCTATCTCAAGAAATGGCCACTGAGCCAGGGATTTGGAGGCCAAGGCAGATCTCCTGTGGACTAAAGGCCAGGGTGAACTATATAGTTGAGAAAAATCAAAAGATGAGAAAAAAGAAATTGCCTTGGCATGGGAGTCTGGGGGAGCACCACAGTTCCCACTCACACAAACTATCCCACTTCTGTGAGAACCACTCGTGAAGAAGGCAAGAAGCGGTTGCCCAACTTCCCCTGCCTTTCCAAAAAAATTTGTTCTTCAAGGCTGCTGGACAAGGAGTGACAGAGAACAGAGCCTCAATAAGACAGGCAGGGATACAGGAAAAAGCAGGAGGTGGCTGGGGCAGAGCTGCAAGAGAGCTAGCTATTTTCACCCCCTCCCTCCCCAGCAGCAGTGTGGCCCACGAGGCTGGAGCAAGCATTTCTGTCATCCCAGGCTCTACCCAGCCCCCCCCCACGCCCCAGTAGCTCCCTGTGGTCGGCCCCAGCTGCGGCTGCAGGCGGGCATGTTTAGTCACCGCTCCAGAGCAGGCAAGAATGTACCTGCGTGTGCTGGCGAAGCATGAGCAGAAAGGGCCTGGTGCTACCATAAAAGGAAACATTCTCCTTCAGAAGGAACTGTTTCCCAGGGCTGTCCGGGCCCAGTCCCTGGATGACTGGAATTCCTTTAACCGTGCAAGGAGGAGTCAGAGACTTTGCTACTGAACGGGAAGCGGGGTGGCCAACACACAGGCATACACACATGGACAAACATGCACAGAAACAGAGACATTTGGACAGCTGTGCTCAGTCCTATATGCACACAGAAGCACACTTGCATACACACAGGTGTGTGCCCTGGTGCACAAGAATGTGTGCACATACATGTAAGCAGGAACATATGAGTGCATGGAGCACACACTCAAGATACTTGTGTACAAACGGACCCACAGCACATGTACGCATCTATGTACGTACACACACACACACACACACACACACACACACACACACACACACACACACACACAAGGCCTGCATACACTCCAAAAGCTTAACCACCAGAGCCAGACTCACCCACCACCCCGGGCTCTCCCTCCTCTCCTTTCCTCTCCATTTCTGGAGGTTGTTTCTGTCATGAACAGCCCAAACACAAGTTTAAAGGAATCCAAATCTGCTGTGCCAGACTCTGCTGAGCCAGTGCTTTCACAAAAGAGCTGCCAAGAGGCCCCCTCCTCCCTTCAGATGAGGTCCCCAACACTCAACATGGTAGAGCCACCTGCTAGAGGGACTCACACCTACAACCCTTTCTGGATGCTTTTGGTCTACCTCCTGAGCTCCTGGTCAGGTAAGGCAGGAGATAGCTATCTGGCAATGTGACAGCCTGCTTTGCCTAGCTTTTCTCACAGCAGTTTGTTAGAGATGTGTTCCTGAGCTCAGAGTATCCCTTACAGATAATGGCATCAGTTCCCGGCAGGTGGTGGGCTCCTGGCCTGAGCCTGCCATCCCAGTGGCAGGGATTCTCCTTGACACTTGTGCCAGCAGCCTTGCCTCCCTCCCTCACACTGTCATCTCAGTGGCTGAGTACACTCAGAGGCCAACTACACGATCAGAGTTTATCTGAAATAATACCCTTTTGTCTTTCTTCTACCCTGGGACCTGGGGAGTTAACAGCCATCAGCATAACCATAGAAACACAGGCTCTGAACCACCCAGGACCCCACCTCAGAGGATGTGGGTTGAGGCAACTATGAGCCTCAGCCGTGGTTTCTAGAACTCTCTTGGCTGCAGCCTTTCCTCAGTCAGAATCTTCACAAAGCCCTGAGCAGAGGACAGTGGCTAGCAGAGGGCAGTCTGATCACCAGCGGCCATACACCCACAGCAGTGAGGAAGGAAGCCTCTAGCTGTGGCCCTGGAGCCCTCGGCCCTACCCTTGACCTCTGGGAATGAACAGGGTCTGCTCTGAAAACCTGCAGAGGTGAATAAAGTCCCACTGAGATTCTGTCCTTAACCACCCCACACTACATCTCCAAGCTCCCAAAAGAGCCTTCCAGAACCACAAGAAAGGCTCTGGTGAGTGAAACACTCAGCAGTCGGGCTCTTCCCATCCCTGACTTGACTTTAACCCAGAAGCTGAGTCCACGGAATGAGGTCACAGAGCTGATGTGGCCATCCTGAGCAGACAGGTTTCTAGCTAACTCAGGAGAATGCCTGAGGCCTGGCTGCAGGTGTTTTACCCCAGGCATTTAGATTCCTACACATATGGGGGGTGGAGGGATATGCTATGGCTCACTTCCTCTGTGAGAGGAGCTATGGCTGATTCTTGTCCATAAAAGGCCGTGAGGCTTGAGACTACTAGCACAGTGGTGACATCAGCCAGACAGGAAGTACAGGAGGAAGGGTGCAGGCTGCTACTAGAAGTGACTCATGGCCAGGCTCAGAGTGTACCTCCTCCCAGGAGGAACTGACATAAGGCCACAGCTGGGTGAGTGCCCTACCAAGGAACCCCCATCCCCAGGTAACTGGGTTCTCTGGGGCTGAGAAGCAGATATGGTCAAGGGAGGCCAACAGTGGAAGGCAACAGAGTAAGTAGGCAATGTGCCTTCCTGAGTCGGGACCATGACAAGCAGCCCCCCTCCAAATGTGCTCTGGGGAAATCACACAGTAGACCTGAGAGTGGCTGACTGTGTGCAGACTGTGTGGGCTAGGTGACTTCTGCACTGGGTCACCCTGGGAAGACGCTGAAACTCCAGAGTCATGTCTCTGGATACCACCTGGTGTCAGGAAGTCAAATCGCAAAGGACTATGCAAAGCATATAAAATGCATATCAAAAGTAGGAAGGCCTTGGTGTGGCCTGGAGATAAGGTCTCAGATCCTGAGGAACCTGGCGATTTGACTCAAGCAGGCCTTTTTTCCAGTAAAAGCACCTACAGAGGCCAGAGCCATGCATGATGAAAGCGAGCTTTTGAACAGTTCTGATGCTTTTTTCCCACCCACCCCAAGCACAGCCTAGATGACACACACTTGGGAAGCAGACAGAAAGGTGAGAATAAATTGTGCAAAAACCACCTCCACTTCCTACTTATTAGCAGAAGTTGCAGACAGGCTTCCCACCCACCCCAAGCACAGCCTGGATGACACACACTTGGGAAGCAGACAGAAAGGTGAGAATAAAGGGTGCAAAAACCACCTCCACTTCCTACTTATTAGCAGAAGTTGCAGACAGGCTGAACAGAGGTCTTCAGAAGTCTCTGGCAGGCAGCCCTTTAAGAAGGAAGCCCCTTGCCAGGGGCCCTTAAGCACACCACTGGAGTCCAGGCCGCACAGGTAGTTGCTCACTCAGCAGCAGTCCCTGCTAGAAACAGATGGACTTGGCTCCGTGTCTGTGCTCCTCAGGGAGACCTGGTCCAAGAAGTCTGGCCCCAGGTGCAAAGGGCAGGAGTTAGGCAGCCCTCCCTGTCAGGCCCAGGATGACTGGAACAAAGCTCCAGGGATGACTCGACCTTCACTGTGCTAAGAGAGAGTGAGACCCCCAAACAAGCCTTCTCTTGGCCAGATGCACCAACAAAACTCGGGTGCACAAGGCTGAGGGAAATGTTCTGGACTGAGCTCACCTGCCACAGGCGGCTCCAACAGGCTTCTCTGGCTGGAAATCCAAAACCACCTGAGTGCCCACTGCCCCATGGCAAATGCCTTCAGGAAGCACC